TATATATATATATATATATATATATATATATATATATATATATATATATATATATATATATATATATATATATATATTCCAACTCTGCTGCCTCTTTTGTCAGACCTGAACACCCAACACTTCACCCCTCGTCATCTTCTTCCTTTCCTGCTTTCCATTCTATAAGAACTCGCCACAGTCCCATTGCCAGTGCACCAAAACAAGTTAACACCCCCCCTCTCTCTCTCTCTCTCTCGATGCCAAGCGCAAAGGCCCTACTGCCACAGCCGACGACGCTCTTGAGAGCAAGAAGGCCCAAGTCTATCGATGCAACCGCTGCGGCGAGGAGTTCCGGTCCTTCCAAGCTCTCGGCGGGCATCGCAACGCCACCGCAAGCTGAAGCTTCTGCTCGGCATGGCAAACGATGGGCCGCCGACCAACAGGGACAGTCCGCCCGCTGCAGAAGTCATCTTCCTCCCTCGTCAGTTCCACCATTCTGAAACCCTAGACGCGTGGACCATCATTAACGTGCATGCGGCAAAGGTTGAGGGAAAACGTAGCTGGCCGGCGGAGAAGGAAGCGGAGGCTGATCTCAAGTTGCAGCTGAACACTTATGGGACCGACGTGGTGCGGTCGAAGAATGAGAACGAGGAAGAAGACGAGGATGATCGATGGGTGCACGCCATAATTGTAGATCCGGAGCAGCAGTGTCCTCAAGTTCATCGACATGTTGCAGCTCCGGAGGAGGAGGATGATGATGAATGAACTCGACTTGACTCTTCACCTCTAAAAGAAGTTATAAATAAGTGATGTGTTTTCTAAAATAAAATTTTATAAAATAAAAAAATAGGATGAATTTTTTTTACTGAAAATAAGTATTTACCAACTAAGCTAATCAGCAGATGAGACTTCGAACCCTAAATATAAGTAAGAAGATCTAATAATACATTGTCACCAAATAAATTAAATATTATATAAAGTTAAAAGAAATATGCACAAGAATTAAATCCAAAACCTTTGGAATACAATGAAAAAGCATTTTATAATAAAAATTTAAGGTATTTCATCCTTTTATAACATAAACATTAATTAGTGGTTGAGGCTCTGCTTCCAGTTTTTCTTATTTGATCAGTTAGTTCCATCTGAATTCAATAACTATGAACATATGTATTTTCTAATTTGAATTCTTTCTTAATCCATCATATATATATATATATATATATATATATATATATATATATATATATATATATATATATATATAAGATTGCACATAAAAGAAAGAAAGACAATTAATATGGTTCAGAAGTAACCCTTTTGAATGCTCATCACACTCGTCTCTCCCAGATATCTTACTTTTCTTAGGAAATAATAATAATAATAATAATAACAATAATAATAATAATATGGGAAGAAGGCAAAAATTAGTCTCATATTACGAAAAGAGAAAAAAAAGAGGAAATATATAAATTAACAGCATATCTTTATACATAACATTAATCTAGTGGTTCTTTCTTTAGAAATCTAAATCCAAATCATTTGGTATACATTCTTACAAATCTTATGAAGAATATTTCCCAAGAATAATTCTTCGAAGGAAAATGTTCTCGATCAGAGAAAAAAGTGTTTCTTGACACCATGTGAATCAAACTCTCGGCCATTAGTGAACAGCAGAACCAGAAAACATTTCAGACATGCATTTCTGTTCACGACACGCATGAACGAGAGATTCTTCGACGGTCTACGAATAATCGATCAACGTAATACCACAACAAAATGAAAGGGTTTTAAGGATATGCTCAACTCGTCAACAACATCTCAAAAACGACCTGTATCAAGGGAACAAGATCCGATGTAACCTCTAAAGATGTCACAGGCTGAACAACCACTTATCTCTAATGAAACCTAAAAAGAAACTGCAATAATGGTTTTATTTAGAATCTAACACAACGAGATTTATAAATGGAAATCATCGAGGAGGAAAAAAGAAAAATCAACTGGCGAACTTTAGCGTCTCTTCTGCTGATCAGGCTTCAGCCTCCATATTAAGAAATTTGGATGCCGACTAAAGTGTCGACCAGTTGGCCATTCCTCAATGAACTACGAACCTGATTAAATCAGTTTTGTGACGATCCATGGTTTAGCCTTGATAAAGAAAACTAATTTTCTGCCTTCCTCTCATAGTGTGGCCTTTAATTTGGACTTCTGTTTCTTTAAGTCCAAAGAAGCCAAAGATGTCCCCAATCCAACAGGAACTTGATCTCCGTGATTTGATCCATTGGCAACACTGGCTCCAGCAGAGCCATCAGACACGGGCCCACTGCTGGGTTCCGTCTTGGGTTCATGTGCTTGATCACTGGTTGGAGCCACGGGCCCACTGCTGGGTTCCGTCTTGGGTTCATGTGCTTGATCACTGGTTGGAGCCTCGGGTGTAGAACCTGAATTGATGATGTTGAGAAGTTGTGACAGTGGGGGCAGCCGTTGGACAGGATTTACATTCTGGCGTACAAGAATGCCTCTGGCCACAGCTTTCTTACGCACTTCTGCCGCTGCTCGAGCTGCTCTCTCAT